AAAAAAAAAAAAAAAAAAAAAAAAAAAAAAAAAAAAAACTTTGTATCCTTCCTCTCAATTTCTCTTAGCTTTTCCATTCTAGTAGGTTCGAGTATATCAACAAACTCATACTCCACCTTTGATGAACATTGATCAAGGTAGTAAAAGTTTCACAATTTGACCCATCTTTTTTAGAAAAAAAAAAAGAAAAAAAAAAGTTCCAATAGTTGGGTCGTGGGTCAATTGGACTGATGGGTTGGAGGTCGAATCGAGTTGAACCACGGGTCGTGGGTTGGAATGCGGGTTGCACCAGCTGTGTGTTGCGATCTAGCTGGAGCCGTGATTCTCCACATAATGAGCAACGCATGTCCTCTGTCTAATTGGTACACGATGATCGTGACGTCGGTTGACACATGGCTCACCGAAAATTTATATCTCTCCTTCTGGAAGTTGCAAACACAAATTGGATTAGGTTTTTCTTAAACTTCATTGTTTTGCATTATTCGATTTAGAACTCAAATCAAGACGATTTCTTCAACAAAGTTGTTCAAAGTAGGTTCATTCCTTTTCTTTATTGTTCTTGAACAACTCTCGAAGCTCTGCTTTTAGATCGGGTTTCGGAATCTCCTTCAAGGAATTTGTGGAGTAACCTCCCTAGATGAACATATTGGAGTTTCATATCTCAATTTACTAGAACAAACTAGGTATGAGGATGAACACTCAAAATCTTACCTCGCAGGTTTTCCTCGATTCTGGATGGAAAATGGGCTCCCACCACTCAAAACCTCCCTTTCCTTCTAAGGTGGAGTCCTTGCTTATCAATATTGCTCACGAGCAAACTTCAACAATGATTTTTCCGATGAGATATGTGGCGGCTTTCTTTTCTTCTCATGCAATTTCTCTCAATTCTCCTCTTTGTATTTTCTCTTTTGTAAGGCTTGTGCTAGGGATGCATTTGGACCCCTATAATAGGTTTAGGAACAAAATGACTCATTTGCCCCTCTATTGACCTACTTTTCTATTGTTAACTATCGTCACTAACTCAATCTGGTCAAGCTAAATAATTTTATGAGTTGATAGCCATTTTAGGAAAATGATTTAGTTATTTTAAGAAAATGATTTAGGTATTTTAGGAATAAGTATATAATTTTTAAGAAAAGAATTTAGGTATCTTAGGAATAAATGATTAGATATTTCAAGAATAAATTGTCCCCTCTATTATGAATGCCCCCTATTGCATATCTTATAATCTTTTCTCGATTAATAAAGAGTGTGAATATTTTTCATAAACAATTTTATTTATCCAGACTCTGTCTGAGAATTTTCATTCTAGGATGTGACTGATGCACAATTTGGTCAGGTGATTTTATGCCCAGCCTCTGCATATGGAACTTGTCGTTGCTGCTTCTTCAAACGTGGTGCCTTCCCAAGTGGGTCTAGAGGTTGGCACTATAGTGGTTTACAATGATGTGTGGCGGTGATTGAATGGGTAGCGGAGGATATTGGTTTTGGTGATTTTTCTTCAAACGTGGTGCCTTACTAGTGGCAGATTGCTATGCTAGCTACCATGGAGTAATTGACTCATAATACGTGTGTGGATCAGAAGGGTCTTGATGGGGTTGTTGAGTTTGGGGGTTAGCCTGCGTATTTCAATTGACTAAAAGATCAAAAGATTTGAACTTTTTATCCGAGTGTCTAACTAAAAAAAACTAGCATAGAAATATATATATATATATTTTTTCCGTATCTCAAGTAGAATTCTACCTTTTCTATGTTTCACAGTTGATAACTATATTAGGGAACTTTACCCAAAAAAAAAAAAAATAATGGATTCTATTAATGGATATCCATTGCAATTAGACGATATCTAAATACTATATGGATAATTCTTACCTAAGCTATGGAAAAATAATACATTAGCAACCAAATTATTTAATTGAGTCTCTTAACTTAAAAAAATTAGGTAGAAAATGTTGAGTACTCTATCCAGCAACTATCAACTATTAACGATACCAACCAGTTTCGAATTAGCATTAGGCATTCATCCTCTTTCGGGTATTTAAAACAAAACCTGCTCCTAACGAACCGACTCTTTCTTTCCTCTTCTCGTCGAGCTGCTAGTACCAAGGTAAACCAAGAATTATATCCTTTATCTACATCTATAATTCAATAGTAGCTTTCCATGCAAGTGAAATAAAAGAATACGAGCTATCAATACTCATGTATATTTTTATCGTTTTATTATTTTTTTTTTATGAAAAAGATTTTTATTTTGGATCTATCTATTTGTTTCAAATTATGGATGGGTTAATTCGAATATATATTTATTTATGATAATAAAAGGTAATAAATCCTTTTTTTTACCACAAAACTTTATTCAAATAATAATATGCCTAACTAGTTAGTGAGAGATAATAACATGCATTTAATATAGAAAAATTTGACTCTTTGTCAACCATATTAAATCTTATTCAGACTATTTGATAGTTTAATAGAGCTATATCACTAATCCTCGATGTAATTACATTTTTGAGATTGACAACTTCTTTATCTGATCTTTAAGAATTCTATTGACATAATTTGGTTAAGATAAAAGTATGACCAATGCTAGAGATAGAACAACGAATTTCTACAATAGAATGATATTGTCGATTTTAAGCATCAACTCTCGTTACTTTGTTTTTAGTTTCTCCAAAAAAGTCTGGTACCAAAAGAGATAGTATCCCTTACTTATACACCCGGATCTTCTTCTTAATTAGTCAATGTAGGACTCCAACAATTCTTACTAAACAGGTGGAATCGAGTATCAAAGTCTCGAAAGAAGGAAGATCAAATTTGTTATGATTAAAGTATGATATACATTTTTAAGCGGCACATTTAATAAAATTGACCCATATATGTAATAGAAAAATATTTCAAATTAGTTACACTCCGGAGATGTCTTTTAGTCCATTTTTTTTATAAAGGTATCATTGGTGACTTTTTTTTTTTCTCTCTCTCTCTCAAACAAGTGTAGTTGGAACGTTTAGAAGAGATTTCTTCACATTTTGGTCTCTTACTATATTCACCGGTGATTATACTAAGACTAAAATTAGGACCCAAAAAATCGTTAGTCATATGCACTTGACCTTATAACTCAAACTCAAACTCAAACGCAAAAATCCTACTTGAGGAATTTGTAGCATTAGGTTAAAAACTTGTGTTACAGTTTAATAATTTTGTGAGGACTATTCAAGTTTGATGAAATTGACACTCACATTCAATAGTAGGGCACTCCAAAGTGGTTTTACTCGCAGGCCATTTTCCATAGAAGTACGATTAGCAACTTTGTTCGTTTCTTAAACGAGTGCAATTTAGTCGTTTAGAAAAACATCTTTCTTATTTATTTATTTTTTTGTCTCATACTATATTCACTAGATTGGACTAAGATTAAAATAAGGACCAAAAAAGAACTTGTAGCCGTACATACGAGACCTTACAACATAAATTTGAATGCAAAAAAAAACCTTATTCAAGCCATTTAAAGCATTACATGAAAATTTAAGTTACTGCCAATATTTCTCTATAGCTTTGTGAGAAATATTTAAATTTAATGAAATCGACACAAAAAAAAAACTCCTCGAATTAGATTTACTCCAAGCTAGGGTACACTAAGACCTTTTTCATTTCTCAAACGAGTTTTCTTGGGATGTTAAAAAAATTTATTTATGGTTTTGGTCTTTTACTATGCTCATGTGATAGATTTAAAAAGTTCTAAAGTTTTAAATGGATACCATTATTCATTTTTCTTAAGGGATTTCTAAGAGTTGCTTTCTTGGTTTAATTTCTTAATAATATTACTTTGAGTTGGTTATAAACCTAAAATCTAGAAGATTTAAAATTATAAGTCTTAAACATAAGACATTGACAAGAAAAAATATTTAGAACAAATTATTGAAAGCATGAGTAGAGAAAACACAATTACAATTAATATTTACCAATTTTATTGCATATGATGTTGTTGCATTTTTATGAAATTTGACTCATTTTTCAATAATGTTTTTTAAGAAGATATTATTAATCATTTTGATTCAGTATAATTCACATATTATCACTTTTAGTTTCTTCCACTAAAAGACGTCAACTCTTCTATTCTTCTATTCTTGAGAAACAGTGATAAGGCAACCCTCATCCTCAGTCCAATGACTCTTATTCTTCTATTCTTGAAGAATAGTGATAAGGCAACCCTCATCCTCAGTCCAATGATTCAAGCTTTTGTTGGAGCAAGAACTCTGGTATCAAATAATTAACAATTCCTTATACAAAATTTGGAAGACTAAAATTAGATTACTGTTACGACCAAAGATTTTGGAACCTTGTTTTAAATTGAGTCACTTCACCATCGAATTTGATCAAGACTTGATTGAATGGCTTGGATGCAATTCTAACCAGAATTGATTGAAACTTAGGAATGACAAAATTGATTCTCGAATTTATAATGGAAACGTCTCCCCTTGAGATCTCAATTTCATTCATCTACGAATCTGATTTTTACATAATAATTTATCGGCCCGACCAAAGGCGTTTGTGGCCGACATTAAATCTTGATCCCCTTTAATCTCCACAACATACAGATCTATTTGACTATTACAAAATGAATAAGAAAAAATAATACATTTTATTTTAACAAAAGTTGATAGGTTTGAATGGATAATGAAACAGCCCATAGCTTCAAACCTGTTGACATTTGAAGGTTTTCCAAAGGAAACAAAAATGCATTCATAAAATGTGTATACCAACTTTAAAGCCATCCCTCTCACTACAAATCTATATGATATTGTAAAAGAACAATTATTGGAGTCTCTGTGGCCCAAAATAGCTCAATCACCCTACACGCAAATATTACTCATTCCACATTCTACTCTTTATATCTCGCAAAATAGAGCTTGGAAATGCTTAGAGTTGATAAAATGATGCCTACTAATGATTTTTTCATCTGGGTTCCTCTGTTTTTCCTCTGTTCTTCTCTATTGCTTCTTAAAACCATAAGAAAACAGGCAAAACCCAACAACAAGCTTCTTCCTCCAACCCCTCCAAAGCTTCCTTTGTTGGGTCATTTGCACCTCCTTGGTTCCCTCCCTCATCGCTCTCTCTCTCAGCTTTCAAAAAAATATGGCCCCGTCATGCTCCTTCAACTGGGCTCTGTCCCAACCATCGTGATCTCCTCTGCCGCTGCTGCAAGAGAGTTGTTTAAATTTCATGACCTTGCTTCTTGCTGCCGCCCTCTCTTAACGGGTAGTGGAAGATTTTCCTACAACTTCGTGGACCTAAATCTATCACCGTACGGTGAACACTGGAGGAACGTCCGAAAGATTTGTATGCTTGAGCTCTTCAGTGCTCAGCGGGTTCAATCTTTTCAGGAAATTAGAGAAGAGGAAGTGGGGCGCCTTCTAAACTCCATCTCTCAATCCTCTTCTTCTTCAGCTCCAATTGATCTGAGTGACAAATCTTATTCTCTCACCGCAAATATAATAACAAGAGTTGCTTTCGGAAGCATCTTCAGCGGAGGAAAATTAGATGATGAACACTTTCAACATGTTATGCATAGTGCATTAGCAGCAATTGGAAGCTTCTCGATGACCGATTTCATTCCTACATTCGGTTGGATTATTGATCGGTTGAATGGTGTTCATGGGAGGCTGGAGAAGAGCTTTGCTGAAATGGATGCCTTTTTTCAACATGTAGTCGAGGATCGTATCAACTTCAAGAAGAGTTCTAAGAAGGAAGAAAACATTGTTGATGTTTTGCTGAGAATGGAAAGGGAAAGCTCTGAATCTGATGCATTAAAAGTCACCAAAGATTGCGTTAAAGCACTCATTATGGTAACCTAAAATTAGAGATTGTTCATTGGGTATTTTGTTTATACAAGGCTAAGGGCACCGATTATCTCCTTCTCATTCCTGCCCACTTTATATATCATTGGATTTATTAAAATATTTTATCTTAGAAAAGATAGAAATTATCCATTTTTAAAATCGAGAAATTTAATCTCAACCAAAATAAATGAAGAATTTCGTCCCGATAAAGATTGAAATATAAAATAGGAACGAGGACAAAGAAGGTCTCGTCCTATAGACATCTCTACCTAAACTTATTCCGAAAATATAGTTGACCCACCAATAATGATATAACCATGGAGTCACTTCTTTATCATTGTGTTTTATTTTCTTCTTCTTTGGATGTATGGTTTTCTAGGATATTTTTCTAGATGGAGTAGAAACAGGAGCAAGCACAATTGTTTGGGCCATGGCAAGAGTTGGTTAGGAACCCAAAGGTGATGAAGAAGCTCCAAAGATGAGATTAGAAGTTGCATAAATGAAGATTCAGTGAAAGAGATGGACTAGGAAAAGTTTGAGTATCTAAAAATGGTAGTGAAAGAGGTTCTGAGATTGCATCCACCCGCCCCACTTCTACTTCCAAGAGAAACCATCTCCTCTTTTAAGCTCAACGGTTACGATATCAACCCCAAGGCTCATCTTCACATTAATGTGTGGGCCATTGGACGAGACCCACAATCCTGGACTGATCTAGAAGAATTCTTTTTTAGAAGTTTATAGAAAGCAATATCGATTACAAAGGACAAAACTTTGAGTTAATACCTTTTGGAGGCGAGCGAAGAATATGTCCTAGAATGAACATGGCTACCCTTACGGTGGAGTTGGCACTGGCTAACCTCTTGATGTGCTTTGATTGGAAACTCCCAGATGGAATGAAAGAACATGTAGGTATGGAAGAGGATGCTACCAAGAAATCACCTCTTAAACTTATTCCAATCCTTTCAACTAATTTTTAGTTGATAGTTTATGGTTATCCAACAGAATTAAGTCAATATTATCTCAGGGCTAATTAGCCCAGTTTTATCTATATTTCTTATCAATAAATTAAGATATTAAATCTCAAAATGTTATAAAAAAAATATTGAGAAAGAGACCATAAAAGACAAAATGTTGAGAAAGAGACCATAAAAGACGAAATGAAATCAAAGGTTTTGTTACTATTTTACTCACATCTACGGCCAACTTTCTCAAAATTGGGTCTTACTTTGAATTTTTTGAATCACATCTTAACACTCCACCCTTAATGTAAAGTTTCAAATAATCCTTTGAAGTAGCATAATTTTTCTTTTGATAAAGCCTTAGCCATGTATGCTAGCGGTTCATTTGTGTTACAATACTTCAAGATAATTTCTTCGTTTACAAACAAGATCACAACTATAATGATGTCAAAGTTTAATGCTTTGTTCTGCCGTCAAATGTTGGGTTTTTTGTCATAAAATAGTTTTTTTGTTGTCACAAAATATCTCTGTTGCTCCTTTTTACTCTTGTCGAAAATTAGTTAACACTTTCTCAGTCAAATAGCTTAACACGCTGTTTAAGTTGTTGCAACATAGTCTGCTTCTAAAATTGACAATGTCATTGTTTCTTGCTTTTTTAAGCTCTAAGTAATTATCGATGATCCTAGAGTGAAAATATTTGTTGAAATGCTCCGTCTATCATCTAACGAACTTGCTCAATTGCTATATGTAAGCCCATATAATTTGATATTTGAGATTTAGAGTACCAAATTCCTTACTCCAGAGTTTTAGCAACATAACTCAAGACTCATTTGTTACTCAAGTATGAATCTTTGAAGGTGTTGCATAAACTTAGAAATAACACCATCAGAAAATACATTATCGAGTCATGTGTGCATTAAGTAAAGTAGATCAATCTGCCAAGAAGCTTTTGAATCTTCTAGCATTTGTCATTTCTACTTCATCTTCATGTCGTAAGTTTTCATTAATATTCATGAGTGTTGCAGTCTCACAATTGCACATTAAATTTACTCCATATTTTTAGCATATTTTTCTTGCAAAATAAAAATCTAATCTTGAACTTAATATGCTTAACACCAAGAAAATAGTGCAATAACCCTATCTGAAATCTCAAATTCACTTTCATTTGAAACTTGAATTTATCTGCAATAGAGTTAGAAGAGCTAGTATAAATGATATCAACATAAAGGCAGATAATGATAATATGACTTATACCTTCCTTCACATACAAAATAGTCTCATTCCGACTTCTCATGTATTTTCTTCTTGAAAATACCCATCAATTTTGCTATAACAAGCTCAAGGGACCCACTTTAATCCGTACAATGGCTTTTCCAGCTTGTATACCTTTGTTTCTTTGCATTTTCTTATGAATTTCTCTAGTCATGCTACATAGATCTCTTCTTGCAAATATCCGTTAAGGGATGTTAGCTTATCTCCCATCCTACATCCCTTCTACCATTTCTTTTTGTTACTTTTCTTTTTCAACGGCTTCTTAACTTATAGACTCTGAAACAATGCGCAAAATTTTTATTCTTCCTTGATTATGTCTCATCTAAAGTTGAGAATTTATTAATGCATAAGCAACATAGCTAAAGATTTGTAAATGACTTATTGGTTTTCTTCCATGTTATGCTTCATAAGGAGATAAAACAGAGTGTTACTACTGTCGAAAAACAAAAAATGATGAGAAAATCAACTCTAATGAGGAAGGTTTGGTTAAGAGAGATTAAATAGATAAGTTGTTGAGTTTTGTAGTAGATTTTAGTTCCTTTTAATAGATTCCCAAACCCACTTCCGAGGGTCATGAATGGTGAGTATTTCCATAATCGTTGTAATTTCTATGAACAAGGCTCTAGTAGAAGAATTATTCCTAACCCTTCAATTACCCTTCAAATCTCTTGTTATGGAACTAGAGTATTAAAGAGGATTTTATTGCTCCCTCTCTTCTCTCGATTGAGAGAACAACTATGTATGTAAAGTAGCTAATTAAACACACATGTAAATCATTAACAACAACTCTTTAATAAACTAAAATCATACCGTCAACATACTTAAACTATATAAAACTCTCTTGCCTCCCCTATAAAGTTTAGCTTTCCATACAAACTGAATTAAACAGAGGAACCACATCTTAATCATATAAAATTGATAGAGTAAGAAAAGAGAATAAGGAAATAGAGAGTTATCCCGGTTTATTGTCGTTCGTCAATGGAAGTTCCCTTCTCTTGAGCTCTCACGTCTACCTCTTTGCCCTAATCAATCCTTGTTGGTCTCTTTTTCCTTCTACTATCAACAGCTGCTGGATTAGGGTTTTCTTCTTCTTCTCTGGTTTCACAGCAGTTCACTGCAGCAGCAGAGGCTGCTGCTGTGTAATTCGATTTTTCTCCCAAAGTGTGGCTCTCTCCTCTTGGTCTTCTTTTACCTTTTATATTGAACGTAGCTTTTATATTGAGCATGGGTTCCCCTTTAGAGCTGAAAAGGAATAAGTTGTCCACATAGGATGTTCGTCATTGGGCAGTCAATGACCACTTGGACTGCTGATGTGGATTTAAAATTTTCATGTCATCCCCCATCTGTTTCCAAATTTGCTACTCCCTCATGGTTCAACATAAATGTCTAAAATTTTACCACATAACTCAATTAAATGTACAATTAAGATCGATTTATGCAAAATCATATTTTTTTCATGTTGGATCACAATAAACGATATCATGCTCACTAAGTAGAATAAATAGGATAATAAATAAGAAAATGGTGGATGTCCTATTCTTCACAAAATAAATTGAATTCTTTATACACAAACTCATCACCTCTACTATGCAAAGAACTTTAACGTGGCAATAGCTTTAAAATTCTAGAACTTCTCAAAAGTTTTTGAGTTATGTTATAGGAAGTAAAAGCCAACTCATATGACTATAGTCATCGAGGAATAGTAAAAAAATAAACTGTAATAACCCAAAATAATTATAAAATGTATTTTGTGTGTATGTGTTGTGTGTTTAATAATAATGATAATAATAATAATAATAAATAAATAAATAAATAAATAAATAAATAATTAAATTAAAAAAAAAAAAAA